CCCCAAAACCCCAAAACCCCAAAACCCCTCAAGTTGTGTTTGGACAAATAGTCTGTGCATAAAAAATTATTCAATTAAATTTAAATTTCGATAATCGCAATTATTAAAGGATTAGCTAATATAAAAATTAATTGCTACATTTATCTTCTAATATAAAAGGGGAAGAAAAAAGACATGGACTACAAAAGAGACGACTAGTCCTTAAATGGGATAGTAATTAGGAAAATTTAATCAGAAAAAGAAATTGTTGAAGCCATGTAAATGAGACTAGATGTATTGAAAGTTCTCCCAGCTTATAAGAATGTAAATTTAGAAGATTACTACGAAGTTGAGATTGAAGGCGCACTAAATATATATCGCAATGGAATTGCATATGCCGCATTTAACGAATAATAATAATTAATATCTTTTGCACTTACGTTTGATTTAACTTTCGAACCAATCTCGAACCTTTAAAAATAATTTTTTGACGATGGTATTGTAAGTTTCATTAGAAATGATGCAAGGAAAATACTTAACCCTAAACCTGGATAATATTCTTATATTGGCTATGGAGCAACTAGAAAAGATTATAGAAATTTGCACCTTACTTCAAGAATAGGTTTGATGTTATTGAAAGAGAATTATTCCTAAGGATTCAAATATATTGTTGCTATAGCTAGCTCAAAACAAGGTTATGAAATAGGTAGATCATTTGGAGGAAAAATTATAAATTAATATAATTTTAATGGAGATGCTGCCAAAATATAAATTCTAGAAAAGTAATAGACATTTTATAATCAAAATGAAAAAATGAAAGAAAAAGTAATTACAAAGTTTTTATTGATGAGTGAATTCAAAAAGATTGAACCCTTGATTAACTTTGGCAAATTATGAGTCTAGATAGAAATAATAGAGAGGATATTTCTCCTAGATAAAATATAATAAGCAAGAAATTGAATGAGATTAGAGGAAAATATCATTTTTAAACTACTTATTAAATATTTTTAAATTCTTAATTTCTTTAATTTCCAATTTAAAAGAAATATGGGGTTTTGGGGTTTTGGGGTTTTGGGG